TGTCTGGGGCAGCCTGAGCTGTAATCCCTGCCCATCTATTTGTGGCTTTTCTTCATTACTGTGATGACAGGCATATGCCACTGCATCCAGCTGCTGTGCTCCATACATGGGGTAGACTCCATACATGGGGTAACAAGTTGAGGCTAACAATGCCCAGCCATTAGATAAGATGGAGTCTTACAAGGCTTTTATTGTATGTGTGTGCACGTGTGCATACATGCTGGTCCTAGGGCTTGAACTTAGGGCCTGAGAACTGTCCATGAGCTTTTACTTGCACAAAGCTAGTGCTCTACTACTCAAGCCACATCTCTACTACCAGCTTTTATTTTTTAATGGTTATTTGGAGATAAGTCTCATGGACTTTCCTGTCTAGACAGGCTTTGAAACTTGATCCTTGTATCTCAAGCTTCCAGAGTACTTAGAACTACTGGTGTGAACCACCTGTGGTTCAGCAAGTATTGCAAACCTTTTTTTCCCCCAGTTCTGGGGCTTGAAGTCAGGGCCTAGGCACTGTCCCTAAGCTTCTTTTGCTCAAGGCTAGCACTCTACCATTTGAGTCATAACACCACTTCTGGCTTGTTCTGTTTATGTGGTACGGAGGAATTGAACCCAGGGCTTCATGCATGTTATGCAAGTACTCTACCACTAAGCCACATTCCCAGCCCTGTAGCAAACTTTTTTTTTTTTGTCAGTTGTGGGGCTTGAACTCTGGGCTTTTGGCGCTGTCCCTGCACTCTTCAGCTCAAGGCCAGCTCTACTGCTTCAGCAACAGCACTTCTGGTTTTCTAGTGGATTTTATTGAAGATAAGAGCCTTACGGAAGGCTCACGCCTGTAATTCTAGCTACTCAGGAAGCTGAGATCTGAGGATTGTGGTTCAAAGCCAGCCCAGGTAGGAAAGTCTGTGAGACTTTCTTTCTTTCTTTCTTTTCTTCCTTTCTTCCTTCCTTCCTTTCTTTTCTTTCTTTCTTTCTTTCTCTTTCTTTCTTTCTTTCTGTCTTTCTTTCTTTCTTTTCTCTCTCTCTCTCTCTTTCTTTCTTTTTTTGTGGTAGTGGGCCTGAACTCTGGGCCTAGGCGCTGTGCCTCAGCTCTTCAGCTCAAGGCTAGTGCTCTACAACTTGAGCCACAGCACCTCTTCCAGCTTTTTCTGCTTATGTGGTGCTGAGGAACCGAAACCAGGGCCTCAGGCATGCAAAGCAAGCACTCTACCACTGAGTTACCTTCCCAGCCCCCATGAGACTTTTTTTTTTTTGGGGGGGGGGGTCCGGTCATGGGGCCTGAACTCTGGGTCTGGGTGCTGTCCCTCAGCTCTTCAGCTCAAGGCTAGCACTCTACCAGTTGAGCCACAGCGCCACTTCCAGTTTTTTTCTTTTTGCTGAGGAATCGAACCCAGGGCCTCATGCATGCAAGGCAAGCACTCTACCACTGAGACACCTTCCCAGCCCCACTTTCAGTTTTCTAGTGGTTTATTGGAGATAAAAGTCTCACGGGGGCTGGGAAGGTGGCTCAGTGGTAGAGAGCTTGCCTTGCATTCCTGAGGCCCTGGGTTCAATTCCTCAGCACCACATAAGGAAAAAGAAAAAAGCTGGAAGTGGTGCTGTGGTTCAAGTGGTAGAGCGCTAGCCTTGAGCTGAAGAGCTGAGGGACAGTGCCCAGGCCCAGAGTTCAGGCCCCCATGACTGGACTCAAAAAAAAAAAAAGAAAAGAAAAGAAAATGAGCAACAGATTAAATAAAAAATTCCCTTATGGTTAATTTCTCTCTGGCTCAAATTCAATGGGGACACTTACATGATCATGCCCTAGACGGCAGTCCTGGCAAACTCCATTATGTCTCACCCTTAAAATTCTCTTCTTAGCCAGGTGCTAGTGGTTCACTCCTGTAATCCTTGCTACTCAGGAGGCTGAGACCTGAGGATCGTGGTTCAAAGCCAGCCTGGGTAGGAAAGTCCATGACACTCACCTCCAGTAAACCACCAGAAGTGTAAACCACCACTGGAAGTGGTGCTGTGGCTCAACTGGTAGAGTGCTCACCTTGAACTAAAGAGCTGAAGGACAGTGCCCAGGTCCAGAATTCAAGCCCCATGACCACCACCCACAAAGAAATTATCTTCCTCCTTGCAGTCCAATCCCCACCCCACCCTTAGTCTCAATACTTACACAACAGCATCAACCAACACAATTACAAACAGCAATGAAGGCCAAATACAATACCATTTGGTTTGGATCTTGTCAGGTCCTCAGGACACCACAGTATGTTGGGCTTCAACTGACAGTGATGGTTGTCTGTCCCCTCAGTGGTGATGAGCTCCAGGATTTTCTATGGGCAGCTGTTTCATCTCCCTTCCTGTTCCTCCTCCTGCAGCAGCAGTCCTGTAGCAAGGGTCACTTGTGGGGTCACAAATCATCAGGCAGACAGGTTTGAGAGAAGAGGCCCATCTCAGGCTCCCAGGGAGCAAGCACTATAAATCACAGAAGTGTCCTACTCTGGGAGCCAGCATGACAAGGGTCTGCAATTTATCTCACATAAGATGAACTGGATTATTTGAAAAGGCTGGGATGGCTCTTGAGGCTTTGATTTTTTTTTTGTTGTTTGTTTGTTGTGGGGCTTGAACCCAGTGCCTGGGCACTGTCCTGGAGTCTGTGCACAAGGCTAGCGCTTTAGTCCTTGAGCCACAGTGCCACTTCTAATTTTTGAGTGGTTAATTAATGTTTCATGGGGATCTTTCTTTCTTGCTTTCTATTTTTTTAACTGTATTGTCTTTTCTTTTTTGGTACTGGGGATCGAACCCAGGATGTTGCACTTGCTAGGCAAGCGCTTTGCCACTGAGCTACATCCCAGCCCTCTTGCTTTTTTTGTTGGTCATTGGGCTTGAACTCTGGGCCTTCAGCTCAAGGCAAGCACTTTACCGCAGCACCACTTCTGGTTTTCTGGCGGTTAATTGGAGATAAGAGTCTCATAGACTTTCCTGAGACATTTTCCTGAGCCAGCCAGGGCTGGCTTTGAACCGTGATCCTCAGATGTCAGCCTCCTGAGTAGCTAGGATTACAGGCATGAGTCACCAGCACCTGGCACAAAATGTACTTTACATACATCTATAGAAGTTTAACAATGAAACCTGTTCAAATTGTTTTGAGGGAGAGATGGGGATAAACGGAAAGGGTGAGCTTGATGCATACCTGTATATGTGTATGGAATTATCAGTCATAATGACACTCCCACAATGATTCCATTAACTAATGTCCACCAATAAAAATATCTTAAAAAAAGAAGAGTTGAGGGCTGGGAAGGTGGCTCAGTGGTAGAGCACTTGCCTTACATGCCTGAGGCCCTGGGTTCGATTCCTTAGCACCACATAAGCAAAAAGAAAAAAAAAGCCGGAAGTGCAGCTGTGGCTCAAGTGGTAAAGCACTAGCCTTCAGCTGAAGAGCTGAGGGACAGCGCCTAGGCCCAGAGTTCAGGCCCCACGACCGGACCCCCCCCCAAAAAAAAAAAAAAAAAAAAAAGAAAAAAAAGAAGAGTTGAGTAGCTCACTCCTGTAATCCTAACTACTCAGGAAGCTAGTAAGATCTGAGGACTGATGGTCAAAGCCAGCCTCAGTAGGAAAATGCAATTGACCACACACACACACACACACACACACACACACACACACACACACACACACACACACACACACACACACACACACACACTGCTGGAAGTGGACCTGAGCTGTATTAAGAGCGTCAGAAAAAAAACTGAGCCAAGTGTGGCAGTGAATGCTACAATCCCAGTACCAACCTTGGGTGAAAAACAAAACAAAACAAGAAAAGTGCCAATTCATAGCAGGTATCAGTGACTGTAATCCTAGCTACTCAGGAGGCTCCAATCTGAGAATCACAGTTCCAGCCTGGAGAGACAAACCTGAGACACGTGTGTGTGTGTGTGTGTGTGTGTGTGTGTGTGTGTGTGTGTGTGTGTGTGTGTGTGTGTGTGTGTGTGTGTGTGTGTGTGTGTGTGTGCCAGTATTGGGGCTTGAACTTAGTACTTTCACTCACTTTTTTACTCGAGGCTAGACTTTTACTTTTTCTTTGCCAGTCATGGGGCTTGAACTCAGGGCCAGGGCACTGAGTTTCTTTGTTCAAGGACAGCAATCTACCACTTGAGTCACAGAGCCATTCTGGCTTTTTCTGTTTATGTGGTACTGAGGAACTGAACCTAGGGCTTTGTTCATGCTAAGCAAGCACTCTCCCACTAAGCCATATTTCCAAGCCTCAAGGCTGAATCTATACCATTTGAGCCACAGCTTCATTTGACTTTTTTGTAAAACTTTTTTTTTTTTTTTGCCAGTCCTGGGGCTCTAACTCAGGGCCTGGGCACTGAGTTTCTTTGTTCAAGGTGAGTGCTCTACCACTTGAGAGCACCACTTCGGACTTTTCTGTGATTAATTGGAGATTAAGTCTCTCGGACTTTCCTGCCCAGTCTGGCTTTGAACTATGATCCAGTCTCAGCCTCCTGAGTAGCTGGGATTACAGGTATGAGCCACCTGTGTTGCTGTGAAACCCAAAAATCTATTAACTGGCAAAAAGCCAGAACTGGAAGAGCTATGATTACAACAGCTCAAGGCCTGGAGTTCAAGCCTTAGTACTGGCACCCCCTCCCCCACACAAAGCAAAGAATTCTAAATAAAAACAAAGTAATACTATAAAAACAACACAAAACCCCAATTGAGCACCGGTGGCTCATGCTTGTAATCCTAGCTACTTTAGAGGCTGAGAACTAAGGATTACAGTTTGAAGCCAGCCCAGTAAAATAGTCCTGGAAAGATTCTTATCTCCAATTAACTACTCAAAAATCAGAAGTGGAGCTGTGGCTCAGTGGTAGAACTCTTAACCTTGACCAAAAAGAGCTGAGAGACAGAACTCAAGCCCTGAGTTCAAGACTCAAAACTGACAAAAAAAAAAATCAAACTCTCATTACATAACAGTAAAGGTCTAATCACACCATAAGAACAGAATCTGAAAGGTGTTCAAAAAAATTTATTTCCATAAATTAATACATGTAACAGTGGGCATTTGGGTCACAAACTACTAAACAGAAAAGGAACAGCAGGGACATCCTGTATGCCAATGTTACCAAAAATGTACAAATTTTCACTCAACTATTGACCATGATCATATAGACACTTGAGGCAGCTATTTACTGGCCCAAACCCCAGCTCAAGGAGACACAGAGGCCACTCACCGAGAATTGAAGTTCAATCCAGTACCAGAGAAGAGCTTGTGCTGACAGCTGACAAGCACCAAATCTGAGCATGCTGTGCTGGGTGGCAGGTGACAAAAGACCCATGCACAGCCCACTTTGTCTTCCCTGTTCCCTGTGGGACAAGGTTCTAATACTGAACTGTGATTCTAGCCACATTGTCTCCTTCCCTAGCCAGCGGTATGTAACTCATTTAGTTCAGGAAAGAGCCTTCTACTGATATGAATGCAGACAATGATATTCTGCACATCTGGCCAATTATTTATACTTTGGATATAGCCACCTACACTGTGGTTATTTAAATGGTTCTTTCCATGATGGGGGAGGGGGGGAAGCTTACAGAAATCAAACTAAACAAGGGTATGAAAGAAAGCACCAACTGCACTCGTCCCTCCCCAGGTAATGGGAGAAAAGCATCACTGCCTAAAGGTTGGTCTTTCACAGATCTTGTGATGTACATGGTACAGACGAGAGGGAACCCCAGCTTGGAGATGCTCGGCTGTACTGTGACCCTGGACCTGCTGTCCTGTCTTCACCCTGGTGGCCGGGTGGCCAGGGGATGAGTCCCCAGGGAAGGGATGTCCAAAGTGGGATCTGGAGTTGATCAAAAGACCCCTTTTTAGGCAGAACTGTGACATAATGTCATGATTTTTTCACAGCTCTTAAGAGGAGCACTGAATTTGGGGATTCACAGCATGAGTTTCTGAGCTCTTTTGGCTCCACGTAAGGCAAACGCTACATACGTGTTTCCACGGCACTTCCCTCTCTGCTTTACCAGGCAATGAGGTACGTCCAAATTAATGCAGAAATGAGGCTAGGAAGGAGGCTAAGAGAGGAAAAAAAAGAGATGGGAGGGGAGGAAGTTGGTATGGGTAGAAATGGAAAGATGGGCAAGGAGTTGGGCACAATCCTGACTGGACCTGAGATTTCTCCTCTCTTCCCATGGCACGAAAACACTAAATTTCTGGAGGTGTTATACTTCTGTAAGTTGTATTTAATGCTAACTTCCTACTACTTGGGGTAAGTGAGAAACTACCAGCTCCCAACAGATTTCCCATTGTTCTGGGCAGGTGATAGGCCAGCAGCTGACTAATGTCTCCTGCTGTGGCCAGAGGCTGTATGTTCTACTGATAACCCTGACCCTGGCTCATCAGCGGTGAAACCAGATATTGGCTAAGCTCAAAGGATCAACTTCAGGTGAGTATTGAAGTTTCTAACAGGGGGGCTCCTCCTTGGCCCCCTGAAGAGCCCTCACTACAGAGCAAGCCAAGAATTACAGGCAGGTTGGGCAAGGTGGCTCATGCTTATAGTCCCAGTACTTGGGAGGCCAAGTATAGTTCCAGGCCTGCCTAGGGTTACACAGCCAAGTTCCAGCAAGGCCAGCCTAAGCTACAGAATGAGACCCTTTCTCTAATAAAACAAAATACAACCAAAAATCAAAGAGTGGTGGGGTTGGCCCCAGAGCAGCTTTGCCCTACATTCCTCTAGTCCTCTGGTCCAAGATGGCCATGTTCGAGATCACTGTTCCTGGCGCTTTCAAGTATCATGACTGAGGACCCAACATGAAAGATCTGTCTTGGTGGTGGTCCTACGGCTGAGCCCACCTCAACTCCTGCCTCAGCTGACTCCCCGCTCATTGATGAGTGCCACCTATGTATGCCCTTCCTGCAGCAAAAGGGCAGAGAAGCAATATGAGAGGCTGGAAACCGGTTTGGGAAGGGAGAAGTGTTGAGGTGACACACACAGAATGTGTCCATAGTGTCTGGACAAGGTATAGAATAAGAGAATGTGGTCCCCATCGTTCAGAGCCAGCATGGGAAGCCGGTGCCTCTCGTAATCAAGTCAGGCTATGACTACAGCAGCCCCAAGGATGAGCAGGCATGATATCGCAGTTATAGAAAAGGCAGGCCTGGAAGACAGACTTTTCCTGTTTAGGTCAGTTTTTCTACTCCAGAGTAGCACAAACAACCTACAAAGGAAAGGCACATAGAGATCCCTTCACCCCCCACCCCATCTTCCCACCAACAAATGGGGAATGCAAGAATCCGAGGAGAGTTGTCAGCCAACACTTCCGGACAGCACTGCTTGCTCTTCTCCATGAATTCCATCAGCGGCTGCTTCGTGGCAGTGGTTCGGGGGAGGATGAGAAGAGGTAACCAGTGTCTTAAGGGTGCCTGAGCATCTCACTTGCTAGCTAGGGAATGTTCTTTAAACCCTTAAAGAGACAGAAACACACACACACACATGCGCACACACACACACGCACACACGCGCACACACACACACAACAAAAAGATACAAGGAGAAACCACAGGAGAGGAGGGGTGGGGGAGGGAGGCTGGCACACAGGGAAAGACTACCTTTAGGCCTACTAAGTCCTCTCACACACACACACACAGAAAGCCAGTTACTTCTGGCAGTTGACACTTCTAGTAGGTCTGACCCAAGACCCAGGGTACACTAGGTGCCCTTAAAACAGGGTCGGTGGTAGAAATTTGGGGACCCCATTGTAAGCATGTGTCTTAGCATCTGAACTATGACCTGACTCTCTCTCAGTCTTAGAGCAGGCCACTGGGACAGCTCTTGCCAGGAACCACGGTGCCCAACTTGGCTCTACACCAACACTGCAGATAAAGTCACACTCATAAGCAGACAGGATTGAGAAGACCGATGGAAAGAGCACTACCCTCATGAGCTACACTAGAAACTGGAGATGAGGAGGGACGGCTTGGAACATATGAATGAGAAAATGTCCCTGTGTGAAGATAACTGATCCAATGCCTGCGAATAATTTATTCTCTTAAGACATGTGTTGTCTTTCTCCTCTTAAAAACTGTTTGAAAATCACATTTAAAGGCCCCAGACATGCAGCAAAAATACAAAAGGATAAAAATAATAAAAAATAAAATACATGAAAATCATCAACACCACAACATTAAAAAAGTGCAACTTACTTTGAGTGGGGCCTGATTGGCTCCTCTGGCACTAGTGACCCAAAGTCACAGAAGGGAGAAAAAGATGCAAAAAGCACACACACACACACACACATACACACACAGGTCTCAGGCAGACAGACTCAGAAGGATTAGAAAACATCATCTCTTCTTGATTACTGAAATGAGCAGGTGAGACCACACAGGACAGGAGGCTGGGACCCCCTCCCTAGGCCAGGCTTTTGAGTAATCTTGGTCTAGCACCACCGTAAATGAAGTGGAACTTTCATGTGGACGTGCAAATACTGTGAGTCCTCGGAATCCTAGTGTTGCTTAAGATGCATGAGCTTCTTTCCCCATGGATGGCAGACCCTTGCAGGCGGTGGCCAGACACCACTGAGGACCATTTCCAGGAGAACAGGAGCATTCCTGAGGTTCTTGTACTCAGCAGTAGAAGTAGAGGACCCTCCTTCACCAGCTTTTAAAAAGACTGCACCTCAAAATGGATAAAAATTCACCAAATGGGCGTCGTGAGTGGTTTAGGTGTAGGACAAAATTAAGAAATCTCTTCCAGGGAGGTGCAAAAAATTCTCAAATTGGATCTCCAACAGGACTGTTTCTCAGCAGCCTGATGACTGCTCCTTTTCCTCTTCCTTGGCAAAGAAGGTCTCCAGTTCCATCAGCTTCTGTATCAAAAGAGCATCCAGCTCTCGACCCTGCAGAGCCGCCTTCTGGGCCCTGGTGAAGCTGCCTGTCAGCTTGACTTTACCTCGAGCTTTCCTCTTTCGAGGGACTGTAAAATCCTGAAATTCTAAAACTCGCTTCCTTTTCTGTTGGCTGACTGAGATTAGTGTACCATTCCGTTCCTTGGGTTCCTCAAAGATGGTCTCTAAACACCTGAGGATAGACCACAAAACAAAATCAACAGATGACTTACAGGGCTCCAACACTTCCCGTCAATAGGGAAACTGGGGTATCATAGGTTGTGACCAGATTTAAAGGCCTCATCAGTGGGAACCAAGTCAACATGGGCTCACTGGTGAGAATGTAATCGGCCAGTGGGGAGCGCTGTGTATCAATGTGACCCATACTGACATGCTGATAAGGACCCACTGTTAGAAACTGAATGGATCCAATGTCCAATCAATGGGAACCAACTGATTTAATCTACAAGAAAAAAACAAAAACCAAAAACAAACGAACAAAAGAATCCTCAAGACCGAACAAAACAAATCCTATAAAAACAGTCCTTCTCGGATTTGGTCTATAATTTGCTGGTCCATGTCATTTATCTCGAACTGTAGTGCTGGTGGCTAGTAACTGTAACCCTAGCAACTCAGGAGGAATGAGGTTTGAATCCAAGCAATTCTTTAACTCCAAGCCCCAGTACCAGTAAACACACATACACACCAAAGGAAAAAAAGCTTGCTTCAGTTTAGTACAGAGGTATGCCGATTCATGTGTCAATGGCTATCTAGTACATTCCATTGTAAGGATGGATCAAAATCCATTTAGAATCTAGTAATGGATATTTCAGGTCACAATATAATGGTTTAATCAAAATGTCATAGAGCACAGGTACAAAAGGACAGGTACAAGAGGACTGGGAAGGTGGGTCAGTGGTAGAGTGCTTGCCTTGCATGCATGAGGCCCTGGGTTCGATTCCTCAGCACCACATAAGCAGAAAAAGCCAGAAGTGGTGCTGTGGCTCAAGTGGTAGAGTGCTAGCCTTGAGTTGAAGAGCTGAGGGACAGTGCCCAGGCCCAGAGTTCAGGCCCCACAACCAACCAAGAAAAAAAAAACAAAAAACCCCTAGATAAAGTCCCAGGGCTTTTGCCTGGGCAAAAAAAAAAAAGATAAATGTCATTCATTTGAACCAAATTCAGACCCAAAGGTGGTTAAGTGAAACTGAATTTGGGTTTGGAATCCTACCTGAAGATCAGCGGTAAAGTCAGGAGTAGCCAGCCAGTCTGCATACTTGGTAAAAACACCATCACAGAGCTGGGAAGGTGGCTCAGTGGTAGAGTGCATCACATAAGCAAAAAGAAAAAAGCTGGATGTGGCGCTGTGGCTCAAGTGATAGAGCGCTAGCCTTGAGCTGAAGAGCTGAGGGACAGTGCCCAGGCCCAGAGTTCAGGACCCACGACTGGACCCAAACAAAAACAAACAAACAAACAAACGAAAAACCCAAAAAATACCACCACAAACCAGAGGAGGCTTCTGTGTCTACCTAGGCCACACGGATTTCTTCCCTGTCCTATCATGACTCGGGCTCAAGAGTGGGGAACTGGCCCAGTGCCAGTGGCTCACACCTGTAATCCTAGCTACTCAGGAGGCTGAGATCTGAGGGTCATGGTTCAAAGCCAGCCCGAGCATGAAAGTCGAGCACGAAAGTCGTGAGACTCTTATCATCTCCAATAAATCTCTAGAAAACTGGAAGTGGCGCTGTGGCTCAAGTGGTAGAGCGCATGCCTTGAGCTACAGAGTGCCGGGACAGCGCCCAAGCCCTACTACTGACCCCCCCCCCAAAAAAGCGGGGAACTAAAACCATCAGTTCTAGTTATTTCAACAACCCAATACTAGCAGAGCTGAACAAGCCTTTTCTATAGTAAAGGATTAGAGATTTACAGCAATCATTTCAGAGTTATACCTTCTCTTTCATCCCAGTCATGTTGTCCTACCTGTTCGCAGGAGGAGATTTGTAGTTCTTGTTGGTGTATATTTCTTCTAAACTGAATTCTTTCTTTTTTAACCTAAAAAGAGAAAAAATAAATTCTTCAGGGCCTCTACTTTATCTTATATTTTATATAGTGCCAGTACTGGGGTAGGAACTCAGGACCTCACATGCTTTTTCCCCTCTACCAGCTAAGCCACACTTCCACTTCTGGCTTTCTGCTAGTTCACTGGAGATAAATTTCTCAGCTTTGTCTGTCCAGGATGGCTTTGAACCATAATCCTCAGATCTCAGATTCTTTATGTCCTTCAAAGAAAATATAGTTTGGTTTCTCAACTCTACCATTTCCATTTGCTTACTCCAAACCTTTCTGTTAATACATTGACAGAACAAGAGGTTTTCTTGTTTTCTTTCCCAGGATGTCAATCTTCAACTTTATCAAACTAGGTCCATGTATGGAATTAGCAGGAATGATGTTTGGATTTTTATCTTGTGTGTGTGCTAATACTGGAGCTGAACTCAGGGCCTGGGCATTGTCCCTTAGCATTTTTGCTCAGGGCTGATGCCTAAACCTGACCATAGGAAATTCCTGTATGTTCCTCATAGGATTGGGATAAGCCAAACATATTTTAGGACACCATGGAAATCTGGGTGCAGTAGCAGTTTTCTTGCTGGGTAATGGTAGCTCATGCCTGTAACTCTAGCTAAAGATCTGAGAACTGAGGTTTGAAGCCAGCACAAGCAGAAAAGTTCAGGAGTCTCCTATCTCCAATTAACAACTAAAAAAGCTAGAAGTGGAGCTGTGGTTCAAGTGGCAGTACATCAGCCTTGCTCATAAAAGTTAAGTGAGAGCATGCGACTCTGAGTTCAAACCCTAGCGTTGGGGCTGGGAAGGTGTCTCAGTGGTAGAGTGCTTGCCTTGCATGCATGAGGCCCTGGGTTCGATTCCTCAGCACCACATAAGCAGAGGCCAGAAGTGGGGCTGGAGCTCAAGTGGTAGAGCGCTAGTGTACAGTTAAAGAGCTGAGGGACAGTGCCCAGGCCCAGAGCTCAGGCCCTGGACCGACAAAAAAAAAACCAGCACCATACACACACATCTTTTTCCTTTACACACACACACACACACCCACACACCCACACACCCACACACCCACACACACACACACCCCACACCCACACACACACCCACACACACCTTTTTCCTTTCCTATGTTGCCCAGTCTAATTTCAAGCTCATGGGCTCAAGAGTACCTCTGCCTGAGTCTTCCTAAAAAGAACAGGCCATGCCACTATACCAAGATTCATGCTGAAAACAACAAAAAAAAAAAAACCAAAAATATTATTTTAGTTTTACTTATTTTTTGCTGTACTAACTAGGGTTTGAATTCATGCCTCCAGCCTTTTTGCTATTTTTTTCTTTGTCCATCATAGGGCTTGAACTCTGGGCCTGGACCGTGTCTCTGAGCTCTTCAGCTCAAGGCGAGTGCTCTACCACTTGAGCCACAGTGCCACTTCCTTGTTTTTTTTGTTTTTTGTTTTTTTTTTGGGGGGGTCTGGTCGTGGGGCCTGAACTCTGGGCCTTGGAGCTGTCCCTCAGCTCTTCAGCTCAAGGCTAGCGCTCTACCACTTGAACCACAGCACCACTTCTGGCTTTTTTTTTTTTTTTTGTCGGTCGTGGGGCTTGAACTCTGGGCCTGGGCGTTGTCCCTTAGCTCTTCAGCTCAAGGCGAGCGCTCTACCACTTGAGCTACAGCGCCACTTCCGGTTTTCTGGTGTTTTTTTTTATTGGAGATAGGAGTCTCACGGTCTCTCCTGCCCGGGCTGGCTTTGAACTGCGATCCTCAGATCTCAGCCTCCTGAGTAGCTAGGATTACAGGCGTGAGCCACCAGCGCCCGGCCTGGCTTTCTTTTTGCTTATGTGGTGGTGAGGAATCGAACCCAGGGCCTCATACATGCAAGGCAAGCGCTCTATCACTGAGCCACCTTCCCAGCCCCGCTTCCTTGTTTTTTAATTTGTGCTGGTCCTGGGGCTTGAACTCAGGACCTGGCCACTGTCCCTGAGATATTTTACTTGGTGCTAGTGCTCTACACATAGCCCAAGCTCATATTAATCACCTGCTTTTTCCTGGGGATGGCCTGGACCACAATCCCATTTATGCTTCTCACTGGAGCTGTGATGACAGGCTTGCCTAATCACACCCAGCCTTTTCTGCTGATGGGAGTTTCATGAACTTATTTGCTTGGAACCTTGATCTTCCCAATCACAGCCTCTCCTGTAGCTGGGATGACAGCCCTGAGTGAGCATCAATTCCCAGCATAAAAACTGTTTTGTTTGGGCTGGGAAGGTGGCTCAGTGGTAGAGCGCTTGCCTTGCATGCCTGAGGCCCTGGGTTCAATTCCTCAGCACCACATAAGCAAAAAGAAAAAAGCCGGAAGTGGCGCTGTGGCTCTAGTGGTAGAGTGCTAGCCTTGAGCTGAAGAGCTGAGGGACAGCGCCCAGGCCCAGAGTTCAGGCCCCACGACTGGACCCCTCCCCCCCCAAAAAAACAACTGTTGGGCTGGGAAGGTGGCTCAGTGGTAGAGTGCTTGCCTTCCAAGCCTGAGGCCCTGGGTTCGATTCCTCAGCACCACATAAGCAAGAAGAAAAAAGCCGGAAGTGGCGCTGTGGCTCAAGTGGTAGAGCGCTAGCTTTGAGCTAAAGAGCTGAGGGACAGCGCCCAGGCTCAGAGTTCAGGCCCCACGACCGGACCCAAAAAAAAAAACAAAACAAAACTGTTTTGTTTGTTTTGTCAGTCATGGGGCTTGAACTCTGGGCTGGGCACTATCCCTGTGCTCTTCAGCGCAAGGCGAGAGCTCTACTGCTTGAGCCACAGAGCCACTTATGTTTTTCTAGTGGTTTATTGAAGATTAAGAGTCTCACAGACTTTCCTGCCTGGGCTGGTCTTGAAAGTGATCCTCAAATTTTAGCCTCCTGAGTAGCTAGGATTACAGGCATGAGCCACTGATGCCTGGCAAAACTTTTGTTCTTTTGCTTGGCAGTGCCGGGCATCAATCCAGGGCTTGGTGTATCTACTCTACCAGTGAACATTTAGTCTTACCATTAAACATGTATAAATAACTGGTTTATTGAGATGTTTACATGATAACTAATGATCACTATTTTAGCCTAGAATACATTCATAACCTCTAAAGGAAATCTTGTACCTGTTACGTTTGATTTGCTCTGAAACTTACCACTTGGTAACTGTTGAGCTACTTTTTTTTTTTTGGGGGGGGGGGTCCGGTCATGGGGCCTAAACTCTGGGCCTGGGCGCTGTCCCTCATGTTGAACTACTTTTTGTCTCTCATGCTTTTTTCTTTTTTTCTTGGGGTCCGGTCGTGGGGCCTGAACTCTGGGCCTGGGCGCTGTCCCTCAGCTCTTCAGCTCAAGGCTAGAGCTCTACCACTTGAGCCACAGCGCCACTTCTGGCTTCTTTTTTGCTTATGTGGTGCTGAGGATTTGAACTCAGGGCCTCATGCATGCAAGGCAAGCACTCTACCACTGAGCCACCTTCCCAGCCCTTTGTCTTTTTATATTGATTTTAACAAAATGTTTATTTTGTCAGGTATCAGGATGGCAACTCCTGCCTTCAAGTTAGGAGCATTTACATGGTAGATCTTCTTCCATCCCTTCACTTGGAATTTGTTTTTGCCACTGGATTCATTTTGTTACTGTTTTGTTGATGATATTTTGGGAGGGGGGTAGGGGGGATTGGTTATGTGGCTTGAATGCTGGGCCTGGCACTGTCCCTGAGCTCTTCAGCTCAAAGTGAGCGTTCCACCACTTGAGCCACAGCACCACTTCCGGTTTTCTGGTGGTTAACTGGAGATAAGAGTCTCACGGACTTTCCTTGCCTGGGCTGACTTTGAACCTCAATCCTCAGATCTCAACCTCCTGAGTAGTATAGGTGTAAGCTACTGGTGCTCAGCTTGTTCATGATTTCTGTATGTATATTCATGTTCTCTGCTGCTTTTAAGATCATTTTTATTTTTGGAATTGTGTAAATTCTATTTTTAGCTTTAGTTATTTTTCAGATAGTGTTTTACATTTTTTGCCTAGGGACCACTGACCAGCTACCTGTGTAGCTGAAATTACTGATATATACCACCATGATCATTTATTGAGACTATCTTTTTGCCTGGCGGATCCTTAAACTCCAATCTTCTTCTTCTTCTTCTTCTTCTTTTTTTTTTGGGTCCGGTTGTGGGGCCTGAACTCTGGGCCTGGGCGCTGTCCCTCAGCTCTTCAGCTCAAGGCTAGCACTCTACCACTTGAGCCACAGCACCACTTCCGGCTTTTTTCTTTTTGCTTATGTGGTGCTGAGGAATCGAACCCAGGGCCTCATGCATGCAAGGCAAGCGCTCTACCACTGAGCCACCTTCCCAGCTCCAAACTCCAATCTTCTTGATCTCCACCTCCTCAGTAGCTCAATTTACAAGTGTAAGCCACCATGTCCAGGTTGCAGCTTTTATATGACGCAAATAGGTATGAGTTTCTCTTTTCTTTTTTTGGTCAGTCATGGGACTTCAACTCTGGGCCTGGGCACTGTCCCTCAGCTCTTCAGCTCAAAGTGAGTACTCTACCACTTGAGCCACAATGCTACTTCTGGTTTTCTGTTGTTTTATTCGAGATAAGAGTCTCATGGACTTTGCTGCCCAGGCTGGCTCTGAACTGGGATACTCAGCTCTCAGCCTCCTGAGTAGTTAAGATTATAGGCATGAGCCACTGGCGCCCAGCTTCTTTTCTTTTTTTCTTGTACCAAAGTTTTAGTCTTGTCCATGCTGTTTTATAATATAACTGTAGTAAAAATAGAAGTTTATTGTCTAAAATTAATGCATTTTTATATAAAACAATTGCATTTTTTTCATGAGGAGGGCAGGTTTAGAGCTTCCAGGAAAAATGGCATGCAACATAGTATAAGAGGCAACTTAAAAGATACTTTTGGGCTGGGTGCTGGTGGCTCATCCCTGTAATCCTTGCTACTCAGGAGGCTGAGATCTGAGGACCACAGTTCACAGACAACCCAGGAAGGAAAGTCTGAGAGACTCTTATTTCTAATTAATCACCAGAAAACCGGAAGTAGTACTGTAGCTCAAAGTAATAGAGCTCTAGTTTTGGCAAAAGAACTCAGAGACAGTGCCCAGGCCTCAAGTTCTAGCCCCACAATTTTCACTGATAAGCATCTTGGGATAAAAGGCACACTGCCCTTTAACCAAGCAATGCCATTTTCTTACTTTCTTGAAGAGAACAGCTAAAGAGCTAAAAACCACTCACCAGGCCTCCAGAGACAAAGACTGAAGTACTCTACTGTGACTTTTAACTGTTTTACTTCTGCATGTCTTTCTCACCTCCTGCTCCCAATTCTTCCTATTTAACCTGAAGCCAAGGTCTTTACCCTGAAGATGGCCAAAGATGTACTGAAGTGCTATCTTCTATGGCTACCATGTGATAAATTACCTTCTTTCAATTCCTTATCCCTCTCCTCACAGGATTTGTCCCAGTGCTCAGAAATACCCAAGTTATGTTTTTAAAACAAACAAACAATCTTGACTCAAGCCTCAGGGCAGGAAGTAAGAAGGATGGAAGCTAGCTGGAGCAGCAGTCAGCTCAGCAGTCACAGGACTGTGTATGTGGACTCTGTTGACACACTCTTTAGCCCAAGGTGTTCCTGGTGGCTCCCCTGGACCCTGAGTGGTTCGACACAATTCTTCCAGTTCAATCTGCTGCTCCAGCCTCACCATCTATCCTCCTTACTCCATCTTCAGTACCAGCTCACAACCCAATCCCAGTGTGACTGGGCAGGTAAGACTTTGACCTTGAAACCATCTACAAGTTGTATGATCCAGGCAAATTATGTTGCTGGCCTGTATGCATGCCCACAGCCACTCAACTGTGGGAATGACAGGTCCTGATGGGTGAGGGGTGGGGGGTTGGGGGGTGGCACAAGCGTCTGGGACAGGGAAGGGAAAGACAGATGACTCCTAGGATATCCTGGTACTACTTTATTCCTTTGGTGCTGGTGAATGAACCCAGGGCTTGAGACATGCTAAGTTCATATTCTACTAATGAGCTACACCCGCATCCCTGAGGCATTGTATTGAGGTTGAGATATGCTAATATTATCAGGATATGGCAAAAAATGTTGGTATTATTTAGTCTCTGAACTAGGAAAAACCAGGGGAGACAAATTACCTATGATAACCAAACTTTGGGTGACAGTGGCTTTTATGTTCTACAAACAAGGCCTAAAGTAAGAAAGCAGGCATTTGAGGTGGGTTCCAATTTAGTATCTGAGAAGCTAAATTTATGGGGGTTGTGAATATAGGCCAGTGGTAGAATGTATACTTAGTGTGTAAGGAACTCTGCATCTAATCTCCAGTACCAATGCCTCCAAAAGCAATAAAGTAGAAGAACCAACTATAGAAATATTTTGTCTAGCTGAGCGCTGGTGGCTCATGCCTATAAACCTAGCTACTCAGGAGGCTGAGATCTAAGGATCTTGGTTCAAACCCAGCCAGGACAAGGAAAGTCCATGAGACTTTTTTTTTCTGAGTCCATGAGACTTTTTTTTTTTTTGTCGGTCGTGGGGCTTGACCTCTGGGCCTGGGCGCTGTCCCTCAGCTCTTCAGCTCAAGGCGAGCGCTCTACCACTTGAGCTACAGCGCCACTTCCGGTTTTCTGGTGGTTTATTGGAGATAAGAGTCTCACAGTCTCTCCTGCCCGGGCTGGCTTTGAACCACGATCCTCAGATCCAGCCTCCTGAGTAGCTAGGATTACAGGCGTGAGCCACCAGCGCCCGGCGTCCATGAGACTTTTATCTCTACTAAACCACCAGAATAACTGGAAGTGGTGCTGTGGCTCAAATGGTAGAGTGAGAGCCTTGAGCTGAAGAACTGAAGGACAGCGCCCAGGTCTAGATTTCAAGCCCCACAACGACTGACCAAAAAAACAAAAAACAAAAAACAAAAAAAACAACAAACCTCAAGAAACCTTTAGGGAGCTGGGGTTATAGGTTAAGTGGTTGCCTATATGTGCACAAGGCCCTGGGTTTAATTCTTAACAGTCAAACCAGACAAACAAAACAAAAAATACAAAACTTTTAGAGCTAGGACTGTAGCTCTGTATAGAATGATTACCTAATATATATAAGGACTAGAGTTTGGTAGGGCTTCTTAGCCCTACCAAAAAATAAATAAAGGAAAAAAGAGTACATCCTTAAACCCTTACAATTTTATACAAATAGTAGCATTCTATTAGATAGTTTGGCTGTAATGTAGCATTACTATTATGGGTATACAAATAAATATACAAAGTATATATATGGTAATATAAATTATTATACTTTTTTTCTTCCTTTAAAGACTCCAATGGCATTTTCTTCTTTTGAATTGATCTTCTGTAAATTATTTAATCATCCCTGCATTATGAACTGCTTTTTCAAATTAAAACTCTTGCCAGGCATGTTGATGCAAACTTGTAATCCTAACACAAAAGAGGTCAAGGAAGGAGGACTGGGAGAGTTTGAGGCCTTATCTCAAAATAAGGAGCAAGGGATATAGCTCAATGGTAGTGCATTTTCCTAGAATATAAAGGGCCCTGGGTTTAATCCACAGCACCACAAGAATTTAGCAAGCACAAAAACAAATAGTGCATGCTGGTACACCTCTACAATCCCAGTACTCAGGAGGCTGAGCCAGGAAGATTTCCAATTTGAGGTCAGCCTGGGGTATATCACCACTATCTCCAAAAACAACAAAATCCATAAAACTAGAAAATCAATATATTAAATATAGGAAAAGTAGAGTGGTAGAAGATTGTAATTAATGGTTAACAACTGTAATTATTATGTGAATCACTATAATAAATACAGTTGAGATTCTGTACAGAAAATCCTACTTGTTAAGAATTTGTATACTGTCTGCAAGGAGCTTATGGCTCATACCTGTAATCCTAACTACTCAGGAGGCTGAGATCTACAGATCATGGTTCAAAGCCAGCCCAGGCAAAAAAAAATCTGTGAGACTCTCCAATAAAACTATTCAGAGGGGGTTGGGAAGGTGGTTCAGTGGTAGAGTGCTTGCCTTGCATGCATGAGGCCCTTATGCACCACATAAGCAGAAAAAGCCAGAAGTGGCACTGTGGCTCAAGTGGTAGAGCGCTAGCCATGAGCTGAAGAACTGAGAGACAGTGCCCATGCCCAGAGTTCAGACCCCATGACCAAAAAACAAAACAAAACAAACAAAAAAACACAACTATTCATAATGAGCTGGGAATGCGGCTTAGTGGTAGAGAGCTTGCCTAGCATACATGAAGCCCTGGGTTCAATTCCTCAGTACAACATAAAAAGAAAAAGCTGGAAGTGGCTCTGTGGCTCAAGTGGAAGAGTGCTAGTCTTGAGCAAAAGAAGCTCAGGGTCAGTGCCCAGGCCCTAAGTTCAAGCCTCAGGACTGGCAAAAAAAAACTACTCAGAAAAAGCCAGAAGCAGTGCTGTGTCTCAAGTGGTAGAATGCTAGTCTTGAGCACAAAGAGGCTCAGGGACAGTGCTTAGGCCCTGAGATCAAGCCCCAGGACTGTCAAAAAAGAAATTCTTATTCATATTTTACAGATAAATTCCTGTATAAGGTTAAGGAACTTACCTTGGGTTATTAAGGAAATTCGGTTACATTTCCATTTACTGATGAGAAATGGAGCAATATTCATCAAAAGAAAATAGAAATCTGGAGATATTCTTTTTTTTTTTTTGTTGGTCGTGGGGCTTGAACTCTGGGCCTGGGCGCTGTCCCTCAGCTCTTCAGCTCAAGGCGAGCGCTCTACCACTTGAGCTACAGCGCCACTTCCGGTTTTCTGGTGGTTTATTGGAGATAGGAGTCTCACGGTCTTCCTTGCCCGGGCTGGCTTTGAACCGCGATCCTCAGATCTCAGCCTCCTGAGTAGCTAGGATTACAGGCGTGAGCCACCAGCGCCCGGCTGGAGATATTCTTAAAAATTAAACTCATAACACATTAAGTCCTTACCCACTGTTCTCAGCATTGGGAGCTTGGGCTCTGGGCCAGGATAACTTTGACAGACAGACAGGAGCCACATGTGCCATGACTGACACTTAGGACCTAATGCAGGTTTCTAAACTACTGAGTCTCAATATCGTCACCCCAACCTAACAGGCCAACAGTACTTACCTTCCAGAACTGAGATGAACTGAGATTATGTGCGCACAATATCTGGCACAGTAAGCTCAAAAAAAAAGAAAAGATTAAGGATGGAGCTGGAGGCCTGGCTCAGTGATAGAGCACATGTCTAGCAAGTGTAAAATCCCAAGTTCAAACCCCAGTACCAGCCAAAGAAACAGAACAGAACAAAACCCCAAAACAACAAAAATTAAAATATCTCTTCTAGGCTAGTACTCTATCACTTGAGCCGCATCTCCAGCAGAAATGTTACAAACATATATTCCATAACTAGAATATACTAAAACACATGGAAATGTAATGAAATCTCCTACAGTATAACTAATGTAAGCTAATAAAAAATACATATATAAATTTTGCACATAAACATTTAGCCACATGACTAATTAATTTAATATAAATTCCTAGAAGTAAACAGCACAAAGTAAATGACCATTTAAAGGGCAACTATATTTTGCCTAATAATTCTTCAAAATAGTAAATAGCGAACCCAATTTGTACTCAAGAAAGACCTCACCTTTTGGGTCGAGGCAGGCCCATTGGGGTAAGATTAGGATCTGGCTTAGGAATGGTTTTCCGTATTCGAATCTGTGAGACTTTCTTTGGCCTCTTCTCTGGCTCAACCTGTTTTTAAAAGTTCAGAAGGTATAAAACATTTTTAACAAAGTAACTGTCCCTAATACTCAAGACACTGTCCGTATTCTGCAGACAATTCTAGTAAGAAGCATTTCATAAAGCTCCTCATCTTACTTCAGCTGTGTTCACAACTGAGGTTATCAATGTGAAAATATACAATGGATGAGGTGGCCAGATATTGCACAACAAAACACCAGCATTCACTACCTTCTCTGAAGGCATTAAAGCAACTCAGTGACATAAGTCTCTAGAAAGGCAGTTAAATGCTGACTTGGTGGGGCTGAGGCAGGAGGATCACATGAGCCCAGGAGGTTGAGGTAAGTAACATAGTAAGATCTTGTCCCTAAAAAGAAACTAAATGAAAAACAAAGAAATCGAGTGTATCCTTTATTTGCCAAGGCCAAGCAGAAAACTTCTAGTTTAGCACTCTTCAGTACTCATCTGAAGCTGAACGTAGTGAAGGCACCTGGGCTGTCTACGCCTGCTATGTGATGTAAGTCAACGATTGAGACCAACGCCACTGTCAGTGGACCTCACTGGTGCTGTAATTACCTCTTTCTGTTCTGGAGGGCTGCCCTGAAGACGAGGGTGTGCTGCTGTCACACCATCCAGCTCATCAAACACAGGAACCTGGAACTCAGAGGCTGAAAGCAGGAGCTTGCTGACATCTGGTTCTGTTACCAAGCAAGACTTTGGTACCAAGGCAGTGAATGCAGGCTCTAGCCTAGCATCATGGAGAGAGAAAGAGAGAACCATATGAGAATGCTTGCTTTCTAACTTTTCAATGGGCAGCTAGACCTCTTTTCATCTCCAGCAAACTTGTTTTCTAGTTACTGGTATAGCCTGAGTCTACATATGTCAAAACTTACAAGAATCCAAAAAAGGAAATTGCAAAAATGAGATCCATTCATTTCAGTGGTATAGTTTTTATAAGGAAACAGGCCATGCTAGGCACTGGTAGCTCACACCTATAAACCGAGCTATTCAAGAGGCTGAGATTTGGGAATCTCAGTGTAAAGTCAGCTAAGACTGACATATTGCCAAATTCTTATTTCCAGTTAACCTAGAAAAAGCTGGAACTGGAGGCATGGCTCAAGTAGTAGAAAGCTAGCTGTGAGCTAAAATGCCAAGCAAGAATGCAAGACCCTGAGTTCAAGCCCCCGAACTGGTATTTTTAAAAAACAGGGGGAGAGGGGGCTGGGAAGGTGGCTCAGTGGTAGAGTGCTTGCCTTGCATTCATGAGGCCTTGGGTTTGATTCGTCAGCATCACATAAACAGAAAAAGCTGCAAGTGGCACTGTGGCTATGGCTCAAGTGGTAGAGTGCCAGCCTTGAGCTGAGGGACAGTGCCCAGGCCGAGTTCAAGCTCCATCACCACAAAAAAAAAAAAAAAAAGCTGGGCACTAGTGGCTCATACTTGTAAACTTAAGCTACTCAACAGGCTGAGATCTGAGGATCATGGTTCAAAGCCAGCCCAGGCAGAAAAGTCAGCAACACTCTGATCTCCAATAAACTACTCAGAAAAAGGCAGAAGTAGACCTGTGGCTCAAGTGGTAGAGTGCTAGCCTTAAGCAAAAACAAAATAAAAGCTCAGGAACAACACCCACGCCCTGAGTTCAAGCCCCAGCACTTGTAAACACACAAATAAAAGCACACTTGAGTCACAGAGATGTAGACTAGGTTTATAGAGATAAGAGGCCAGGTGTGCACCTTGTGTAACACATGCTACCTGTGAACACTTCTTGCATTCTCAGCTGCCAGAGGCTTACCTCACGTGATTGCCAATGGTACTGAATGTTGTGGTATCCACGCCTGGAAGAGGCACATATGGTAACCCGGTGTGGCTGAAGTGAAGCAAAAGCACAGAAGAGCAATTAGCACAGTGGGACACCAAGAAAAGTCCCAGGAAAGACAAAAAGCAGGAGAAAGAAAGATATGTGCCCATCACTGGAACAGAAGCAAGCTGACAGGAAGCTGATTTTCTCACGTAAATGGGATGAACTTAGATAGAGAGGGAGGAACAGAATAACATATTGTCTTTGGATATAACATCTTTTAATCACTTTGTTGAACATGATTTCATTAAATATTTAAACATTTAAAAATTGAATCACGGGCTGGGAAGGTGGCTCAGTGGTAGAGCGCTTGCCTTGCATGATGAGGCCCTGGATTCGATTCCTCAGCACCACATAAGCAAAAAGAAAAAAGCCAGAAGTGGCGCTGTGGCTCAAGTGGTAGAGCCGCTAGCCTTGAGCTGAAGAGCTGAGGGACAGCTCCCAGGCCCAGAGTTCAGGCCCCATGACCGGACCCCCCCCAAAAAAATAAATACAGTAAAAATAAAAATAAAAACTAAATCACGGCTGGGAATGTGACTTAGTGGTAGAGTGCTTGCCTAGCATGCATGAAGCCCTGGGTTTGATTTCTCAGTACCACATATACAGAAAAAGCCAGAAGTGTCACTGTGGCTCAAGTGGTAGAATGCTAGCCTTGACCAAAAGAAGCTCAGGGACAGTGTCCAGGTCCTGAGTTTGAGCCCCAGGACTGGCAAAAAAAAAGAAAAAAAAAAGCCGGGCACCAGTGGCTCACGCCTATAATCCTAGCTACTCAGGAGGCAGAGATCTGAGGATCAAGATTCAAAGCCAGCCCAGGCAGGAAAGTCCATGAGACTCTTATCTACAATAAACAACCAGAAAACTGGAAGTGGCACTGTGGCTCAAGTGGTAGAGCGCTGGCCTTGAGCTGAAGAGCTGAGGGACAGAGCCCAAGCCCAGAGTTCAGGCCCCACAACAGACAATAAATAAATAAATAAATAAATATCACAAGCTGAGTGCTGATGGCTCATACCTATAATCCTAGCTACTCAAGAGGCTAAGACCTAGCTGGGCGCCTGTGGCTCACGCCTGTAATCCTAGCTACTAAGGAGGCTATAATATGAGGATCATGGTTCAAAGCAAGCCTATGAGACTCTTATCTCCAATTAACTACCAGAATATCAGAAGTGGTGCTGTGGCTCAAGTGGTAGAGTGCTAGCCTGAACTGAAAAACTCAGGGACAGCACACAGGCCCAGAGTTCAAGCCCCACATCTGGGGGTGGGGGAAAGAGGCTAAGAGCTGAAGATTAATGTTTGAAGGCAGTCCAGGCAGGAAAAGTTCATGAGACACTTCAATTAATCAGCAGAATGCCAAAAGTGGAGGTGTGGCTCAAGCAGTAGAACACTAGCCTTTAAGCAAAAAACAAAAACAAAAACAAGTGAGAGTATGAGGCACCAAGTTCAAGCCCCAATTTGTATGTCATGTTGGATAGTTTTTTTGCACATCCCCATAGCTAGAACTAGTATGAAATTCTACTGGTTTTAGAATGTGGTGCATGCTTCATTAACAAGGTATCTGTCTGTGTGACAACCATACAATCCACACTTCCCTAACCAGCTGGGATGTGGCTTAAAACAAGCCCTCATGTGCTGGGTGGGGTGGCACACACTTGTAGTTCTAACTTCTTGGGAGGTTGAAGTGGTAGGATTATTTTAGCCTACACCCTGGTGAAAATAGTGAGACCAAGAAAGAAAGAGTCGTAGAGGAAGAAGGTGGAGGATTAGAGAGAAACAAAGCTTCATGTGCCACCCCTCCCCAGATTTAGCATGTATTAAAAAAAAAAAAAAAAGCTGCCCATCTAACCTGTATTATAGACTGCTGGAGAATAAGGTTCAAGTGAGAAAATCTGGCAGGTGCGGTGGTACATGCTCCTAATCCCAGCACTTTGGTGGCTGAGGCAGGAAGACTTTGAGTTCCAGGCCAGCCTGAGCTACATAGCAAGACCTTGTTGAGAGAGGAAGGGGACGGAAGGGAATGGATGTCCTATGGAAAAATAAGTCTTTGTTAAATTATTTTGGGGGCTATCCACTAATTCTTTGGGTAAACTCTTCTAAGTACCTTTAGAAAGACAGTAAACAGTACAGGCATACAATGTTAAGGCAGATTTAGAGCCAATAATAAAATGTCCCTACAAACACCACCCTTTCACCTTCTACCCAAATTTAAGTAAAATAAAATAGAAAGCTAAATAGAGAAAGAGAGAAAAGTCAGGTGGGAAAGAGTTCTGAGTGAAACAAACAGCTCCCAGGACACTAACCTCAGGAATAAACATATAAGGTCTTGGGTTGAGGAGAGTGGGAAGGGAAGAAAGCAACACAATTTAAAGCATAGACACACAGCAGAGCAGAGAACAATTCTGAGAATTCAGAGGCAAACAGCAAACTGGACAGTAAAAGCAGTGTACCATCTTTTTTTTTTGGGGGTCTGGTCGTGGGGCCTGAACTCTGGGCCTGGGCGCTGTCCCTCAGCTCTTCAGCTCAAGGCTAGTGCTCTACCACTTGAGCCACAGCGCCACTTCCGGCTTTTTTCTTTTTGTTTATGTGGTGCTGAGGAATCAAACCCAGGGCCTCATGCATGCAAGGCAAGCACTCTACCACTGAGCCACCTTCCTAGCCCCGTGTACCATCATTTTAAATGACTGATTTATTCTTGAGTACTTCCATGGTTGCATCATAAGAAGTACATATTTTTGGGCTGGGAAGGTGGCTCAGTGGTAGATCGCTTGCCTTGCATGCCTGAGGCCCTGGGTTCAATTGCTCAGTACCACATAAGCAAAAAGAAAAAAGCTGGAAGTGGCGCTGTGGCTCAAGTGGTAGAGCGCTAGCCTTGAGCTAAAGAGCTGAGGGACAGCGCCCAGGCCCAGAGTTCAGGCCCCACGACCGGACCCACAAAAAAAAAAAAAAAAGTACATATTTTTCTATTACCTACAGGACAAGTGCTCATAATTCATCTTTTAATTTCAATCAGAATTTTGTGAGTTTTGTGGTATTTTACTAAAACCCTTAATTATTCAGCCCTCTGCTCAAATGCCTGGGAAACTATACAACATCTTTGAGACAAGATTCCCTATGTAGGCTATATTGGTCTTGAACTCACAATTCTTTTGCATCACCTTCTAGAGATCTACTTTGGAGTACACATTCAGCTTCTCCAGCAGCTTGCTTTTCTCTCCTCTGCTGGTTCTGGGTTTTGAACTCAAAAGTCTCTCACTGTTGAATGGCTTGCTTACAGCTGGCTCTCTACAACTTGAACCATACCTCCAGTACAGACTTTTGCTGGTGTTTTGAGACAAAAGTCTCAAAAGACTTTTCTATTTAGTCTGGTTTTGAAATGCAATCCTTCAGTTTTTTAATCGATCAAAGGGCCTGAACTCTGGGCCTGGGTGCTGTCTCTCAGCTCTTCAGCTCAAAGCTAGCGCTCTACCACTTGAGCCACAGAGTCATTTCCAGTTTTTTTGTTTATGTGGTGCTGAGGAATCAAACCCAGGGCCTCATGTATGTGAGGCAAGCCCTCTACCATTGAGCCACCTACCCAGTCCAATCCTTCAGTTCTTAGCCTTCCGAGCAGCTAAGATGACAAGTGTGAGCCACTTGCATCCAGTTTTTATTTTGGGTACTGGGAATTGAATATAAAATTGTGGGCATGCTAAGCAAGCACTCTACTACTTGAGCCATTTCCTGGCTAACCAATAGATTTTTAATGATGCAGAATGGAAAAATCTGTGTCATTATGCCAAATGCACAAACAAGTGTCTCCCAAGTAATTTGGAATATCAGTGTTTTCTTTTCCTTTTTCTGCTGTTGTTTAATTTTTTTAAGAAAACAATAGCAAGGGCAAAAAGTTGTAAAATTTTATGTAAATAAAGTAGGGATCTAGAGGGCATAGCTCAAGTTGCAGAGCACTTGCTTAACAAGTACATGGCTGTGAGATCAACCACCAGTACTATTTTTTTTTTTTTTGCTAGTCCTAAGGCTTGAACTTAGGGGCTGGGCACTGTTTCTGAGCCTGTTTTTGCTCAAGGCTAGCACTCTAAAACTTGAGCCACAGTGCCACTTCTATTTATGTGGTACTGAGGAATCGAATCCAGGGCTTTCATGCATGCAAGGCAAGTACTCTACCACTAAGACACATTCTTAGCCCAACCCCCAAGTACTATTAAAAGAAAAAAAAAGAATTAAAGTAGGTATATTAGGCCCATAAATGATGATGTATATGCCTATAATCCCAACTACATGGGAGGTGGGAACAGGAGGATCATAGTTCAAAGTTAGCCCAGGCAAAGTTAACAGGAAATCATAAAAACAAAAAGTAAACTGGAGCTGTGATTCAAGTGGTAGAGCACTGAAAGCTAAGAGTTCAATCCCCAATAGTACAAAAGAAGGTAGAAAGATTTATCTAAAAGCTTTCTCAATCAAGGCTCCTTCTCTGCCACTTGAGCCACAGCTCCACTTCAGACTTTTTTGCTGGCTGATTAGAGATAAGAATCTTATGGACTTTCCTGCCCAGGCTGGCTCTGAACCTTCATCCTCAGATCTTAGCTTCCTAAGTAGCTAGGATTATAGGTGTAAACCACTAGCACCTGACTAAAGTAATTTTGTAGGGACTTGTTACTTTTAAAAAAAAATTTTTTTTTTTTTGGGGTCCGGTCATGGCCTGAACTCTGGGCCTGGGCACTGTCCCTCAGCTCTTCAGCTCAAGGATAATGCTCTACCACTTGAGCCACAGCGCCACTTCCGGCTTTTTTTTTCTTTTTGCTTATGTGGTGCTGAGGAATCGAATCCAGGGCCTCATGCATGCAAGGCAAGTGCTCTACCACTGAGCCACCTTCCCAGCCCCTACTTTTTAAATTTTTTTTTTTTTTTTTGGGTCCGTCATGGGGCTTGAACTCTGGGCCTGGGCGCTGTCTCTCAGCTCTTCAGCTGAAGGCGAGCGCTCTACCACTTGAGCTACAGCGCCACTTCCGGTTTTCTGGTGGTTTATTGGAGATAGGAGTCTCACGGTCTCTCCTGCCCGGGCTGGCTTTGAACCGTGATCCTCAGATCTCGGCCTCCTGAGTAGCTAGGATTACAGGCGTGAGCCACCAGCGCCCAGCTACTTTTTAAATTTTTGATGCTAGAAATTGAACCTAAGGCCTTGCACATGCTAAATACCCACTCTTCTACAAGCTATACTCCCAGCCTCTAGGGCTTTTTTTGTTTGTTTGTTTCAACTTGGGGCTTTGACTTGTTTGGCAGTTGTTATACCACTGGACCCATTTCTAAGCACCTTTATTTTTCAGATAGGACCAGACCACCTCAACTACAATCTATCTACCCATACCTATTACATTTCTGAGATCACAGGCATGCACCACTACACAGAAATTGGTGGAGATGAGAATCTCACTAACTTTTTTTTTTTGTCGGTGGTGGGGCTTGAACTCTGGGCCTGGGTACTGTCCCTGAGCTCTTCAGTTCAAGGCTAGCACTCTACCACTTGAGCCACAGCACCACTTCCAGTTTTCTGGTGGTTAATTGGAGATAAGAGTGTCATGGACTTTTCTGCCCGGGCTGGCTTTGAACCATGATCCTCAGATCTCAGCCTCCTGTGTAGCTAGGATTATAGGCGTGAGCTGCCGGTGCTCTGCTCTAACTTTTTGAACATGCTCTCTTCAAACATAGATCCTCCTAGAAGTTGCTCCCCAGACCTTTTCTATTAGATGGTACAAGGATATTAATGAGATTATTTCCAATTATTCACTTAGTAGTCAAAACACAGGAACTCCCACAAAGTTCATTTTAAGGCCTATAAATTACTGGGAGCTGGTGGCTCACACTTGTAATCCTTACTCAGGAGGCTGAGTCTGAGGATCTTGGTGCAAAGCCAGCCCGGTAGGAAAAATCTGTGATGCTTATCTCCAATAAACTACTCAGAAAAAGTGTGAAGTGGAGCTGTGGTTCAAGTGGTAGAATGCTAGCCTTGAGCAAACTAGTTCAGGAACAGGGACTGGGAAGGTGGCTCAGTGCTTGCCTTGTAGGCATGAAGCCCTGGGTTCGATTCCTCAGCACCACATAAGCAGAAAAAGCCAGAAGTGGCACTGTGGCTCAAGTGGCAGAGTGCTAACCTTGAGCTGAAGAGCTGAGGGACAGCGCCCAGGCCCAGAGTTCAGGCCCCACCAAAGAAACAAAAAACAACAACAACAACAACAAAAAATAGTTCAGGGACAGTACCTAGGCTCTGAGTTTAAGCCCTACGACCAGCACCAAAATGGGGTGGAGGGTGGGGGGCATGAAGCCTATAAATCCTAAAACTGGAGTATGTAAATGCCTACTTGTGAGTGTGTGTCAGTTGTAGGGCTTGAACTTAGGGCCTCCTGGGCACTGTCCCTGAGCTTTTCTGCACAAGGATACTACCGCTTTGAGCCACAACTCCATTTCCAGTTTCCTGGCGGTTTATTGGAGATAACTGTCCTGTTTGGGTTGGCATCAAACCATGATCCTCGGATCTCAGCCTACTGAGCAGCTACAATTATAGGCATAGGCCACCAGTGCCAGGCTGTAAATGTCAAGTTTTGAAGCCTTCATCTTACAGAAAAAAAATGTAGAAGCTCATAAACTAGGTGTGGTGATGCTGACATTAATTCATTCACTCACTAAAAAAGTATTTTCTATTTTTTGCACACCAAATACTAAGTGCTGCTGTAAGATATTTAAAAATATGTAAGTCGGGGCTGAGAAGGTGGCTCAGTGGTAGAGCACTTGCCTTGCAAGCATGAGGCCCTGGGTTCGATTCCTCAGCACCACATAAGCAAAAAGAAAAAAGCCAGAAGTGGTGCTGTGGCTCAAGTGGTAGAGTGCTAGCCTTGAGCTGAAATGCTAAGGGACAGCACCCAGGCCCAGAGTTCAGGCCCCACTACTGGACCCCCCCCCCCCCCAAAAAAAATATGTAAGTCATTGCCACTACGAATTGTCTATGGGCTGGGAAGGTGGCTCAGTGGTAGAGCGCTTGCCTTGCATGCCTGAGGCCCTGGGTTCGATTCCTCAGCACCACATAAGCAAAAAGAAAAAAGCCGGAAGTGGCGCTGTGGCTCAAGTGGTAGAGCGCTAGCCTTGAGCTGAAGAGCTGAGGGACAGCGCTCAGGCCCAGAGTTCAGGCCCCACGACCGGACCCCCCCCCCCCCCCAAAAAAAAAAAAAGAATTGTCTATAGTCTCAGCAACTGAAAGATAAAGCAAGAGAACCATGATTTTGAGGCTATCCTGGGTTGCATAGTAAGTTCAAATGCTACACAGAGATGGCTTGGAAGAATAAATAATGGTCCAAAACACAACTATAGATTTGGCAGAAAAATCGCTGGTGGCTCACACTTATAATCCTAGCTACTTAGGAGGCTGAGACCTGAGAATCATGGTTCAAGCTCAAAGTCAGCCCAGGCTGGAAAGTCCATGAGACTCTTATCTCCAATAAACCACCAGAAAACTGGAAGTGGTGCTGTGGCTCAAGTGGCAGAGCAATAGCCTTGAGCTGAGGAGTTGAGGGACAGCGCCCAGGCCCAGAGTTCAAGCCCCATGACTGACCAAGAAAAAAAAAAATGACTGCTGTTATTTTCTTAGCAGAGATTTCCCAAAGTGTACAGCAAATGCAGACACAAAGAGGCCTCCAAGCAGCACTGCATTTCCAACACTTCCCCAGTGGTAGGAAGCAAATATGGGATATAAGCAAAGAACAGAAACAGAGTTTACCTGTTTGTGGTGCTCAGACTCGGCTGCCGCTTGCTATGATGAAGAGCAGAGATTTCGAAGGAGCAGGAAGAGGACCCATGCTGGCTCCAAATGGACAACACTCTGCCCACCGAGTAGGGCAGAGAATAGAAGACCTTATTTGCTATGGAGGCTGGAGACCTTAGCCCTTTCAATCCCTGTGTAAACTGGGTCATGAAGAGCCTCTGCATGGTAGGCATGTGATTTGAGAAGCTCCGTTGTTTTGTCCAGATTCGGTAGCATCCAGGAGAACAAAGTGCAAGAAGCGTGTGAAGGCCAAAGACAGAGCAGTCTGCTCTGGTCTGGACCATGGCAGTGCCTCCATAGTCTGGGAGAGGAGCTGGAGTCTGTGGAGGAGCCTGAGTGTGTGCCTGACCATGGAGGCTGGTGTCTTCCCTGAATGTAGCCATACCAGGGCAAGCATGGGACAAAAAGAAAGAAAAGGTCCACTTGGGAGGTTGAGGCAGGCACTGGGAGGCCTCTCCTAAGGCAAGCCTCGATGGAGCACAGTGCTCAGGAAAAGTCCTCGAGGCTTCCATCATGCAACTAGAGGTTGGTTTCACATGAAAGGAAACTGGGAAGATTTCAGAACCAAACAGTAGTGATGGCATCTTTTTGCTCAAATCTATGAAGCTCATTTTGATGGCTTCAAGAGAATAAAGTGCCAAGGATTTGCTGTTAGGCCTCTGATCCCATTTATTAGCTGCCATATATGGGTTCAGCTGCATTGCGTTATATGAAAATCCATCCAGGAGCCTTTTATATCTGAGGCGCTTATAACTTTTAGCCACTGGCAGAAGTGCAGAGGAACACCGATGGTATCTGAGTATCGGGGACTTGGCAGGTGGGGCTAGTTTGGAGGCAAGGATGGATAGCTTATTTAGTAAGGCTGATTCTTTGGTAGGCTTCCTAAAACTCAGGCTCAAGGGATGGCACAGAGTAGCCTTCTGCTTTGGTTTGTGGCTAAGCAAGCTCCTGATAGGTACTGGTTCAGATTTCAATTGTGTGGGTACAGGCACAGCACATGAGCTGAGAAGTCTGTGTGCTTTGGTGGGGACAGAATTGGATGAACTCTTTCCAATGGCAGAACTTCTGACTTTACCCACTTTTCTCCCCACACTGACCAGCTCCTGATAGGAAACTCTCTTACACGTTCGATGGGGCTGCTTCTTTAAAGGAAGCATTCTTTTTTGACCAGAAGTATTCACAAAGGCACCATGTATTTGATCACATCCAGCAACGCTGGGATCTTGCTGTTTCCTGGGGGCACCAGGAAGGCAAGGACCCGAGCATAACTCAATGTCCTTCTTCAATGGCTGATGATATAAGCTTTGCTCCTTTGGGTCTCCCAACCTTTGAAGCTGTCCAGTGGTGTTGCCCTTGGTTAGCTTTGCCTGAGTGATTTCTTTTATCATGGTGAACCCATCTTTGTCTGCTTGAGGGTGGTTCTTATCTTGAGCCTCATCTGAAAACTTATTAGATGATGCATACTGTTCAAGTATCATATGTGCTGCTCCTTTTTGATGTGTAAGATTTTCCTCTTTCAGCAATGTGTAGTCCAAAAACTGCTGACTCTGTTGTTTTACAGAATCATTATGAATGGCTTGGCATTGCAAGTAGGTCTGAGAATTCCTGGGCAAATTATTATCACCATGGCCTTCTCTGCTAGTGATCACCTCAGATTCTTCCCCAACAGTTAAGTGATCCAGCAGTACCCTCTGGTGGTCTTCAGTTCTTTTTCCATTCTTCAGTTTTTTTCCATGTGTATCAGTGAAATTCTCAAAACGACAAGCTTTGCAAGCATCCTTTTCCACACTGGTGTGTGCACTGTCTCTTTCGTTAGAACTTATATTCCTTGGTACTTGTTCCTTCATCTCGAGCAGGCTTGCACAGTCTTTTGTATTTTCACAAAGCACGTCACCATCTTTCTGCTTAAAAGGATTTTTCAGGTCAGTTTCTTCACTACTGGTATTATCAATTTCTGAATTTTCTTGAGAAGATAGATACAAAGTCATTGCTTTAAAGGATTCTAGGCTCTGTGGAGAGTCAGAGTTCCCATCTTGGCATTTAAAGGACATCAAATCTCTTGAGGATATTCCCAAAGGTTTTTCCTTGCCAGCCTCAGAATCTACTTCTGGTCTTGATCCTTCAGTTATTCCCTGGGTCTCTCTTAGAGATCCTACGTTACAATGGTGTTTATGGTAAGCATGATTTAAAGACATGCTTATGCTATCTAATATACTCACATTTGGTTCATGATCAGCAATAGACTTCATCTCATGGGGTATGGAAGAGTCTGGGCATTCTTCAATTTCACAGTCTTCTAAAGATTTACATACTTTCTCTTCACATGATTTTATTTCTACAGACTGCTCTATAGAAGCAGCAACATTTGGGAGATCTGAGTCAGCTGGTCCTATAAATGCAGCCTTCAGTTCTCCTCTCTCAGATGAGGTATTCCTTGAGGTTTCACGGAATGCCAGTCTATCTCCCTTTGCACCATCACCAAGTACATTAGATGTTTTCACAGCCAGCATACCTTGTGCAGGCTTTTCACCATAGTCTGCATGGACCGTGTGTATCATACCATCGATGGACTCTTCAGAACCAGAAATATTTTCAAAGGCTCCTTGGGAATTGTCTTTCTTCGGACTACCACAAAGCAGTGAGTTATCCCTATCCAAACTGACTAGCAGATCTTTTTTGCTGAAATTTAGCTCTCTGTTAGCTTCTGCAGTGGCTTCTCTCTGGTGACTGTCTAGTGCCTTCTTAACTGATTTACATTTACTTCTGCATTCAACTAGTCTGTTTTGGTTACTCTGGAAGCCAAGGACTTCATCTGCTTTCTGACCAAGGGTTTCAACTGTTGGAGGAGACTGGTTCAATGTTTCAGGATTTGGAATGTTTGCAGATTGGTTTAGTTCTTGTGTAGCACAGTCAGAGATAGTGTCTTTACAAAACACAGTTTCATTGGGTATATCTGATTCTTTTCTGTGTAGCCCTCTCTCATTGGGTTTGATGTGACTGATGGCAGCACGTGTGGCTATCTTCAACACTCCATTACCTGACATATGTGCTACTTTAGTATGGTTCTTACCATCTGGAAGGCTGCCTTGAGTTTCTCTCCTAGTAAGTTCACTCTTCTTAGATGTACAGCTCATTTTCTGGGTGTTACTTTTTACAGAGTCTTCTGTTCCCTGGGAGTAGTGATCACTGTGCTGAAATGCATTTTCATATTTTCTTGCTTTAGAGTTGTTCACTCTCAGAATGATTTTGCTTGGCTTAGAAACAGCACACGCAGAAAGTAAATTTTCTTTTGGTACATTTTCTCTTGCATTGTGACAGATGGAGATATCCTGAGATTGAATGTTTTTACATTTGGTGACAGAAACCTCCTGAGGAGAGCCAGCTGCTTCTTTTGTACTTGAGAGGAACCCAAAATGTAAATCTTCTGTTCCTGAATCAGCCATTTTTTCTTTTCCTTCTAGGCTTCCTGATTTGGTGCTAAAGGTGGGATTTGAAGAGGCACCACAGATTTTGTCACCCTGTGAAGAAATGTCTTTTAGTTTTGTCTTCATGGGAATGGTCTGGGTACCAGCAATAACCTCCCCTCCATTCTTTAAAGAAAGGTGATGGCTCTGTTGGGCATCATTGCCTGTAGCCAAAGGCCTCTCTCTGTTTATATTTAGTAGAGAACTAGTTGGCAATGTCATGTGGTCTTGAGAATTAAGGGACACTTGTTGATTTAAAACACATTCACAATCTACTTTCATAACCAGTTCACTAGCACAAGAAGGTTCACTCATCTCACCAGCAATGCCTGGTGCATCTAAATGTGAGATACTGTCAAGTGAGGTTCGTGTAGCCTTTTCTGAAGGTCTGTAATCAAATTCTTGCAACAGTGGTAATTGAGCAGCATCTGTCTTGGATTTTGATATCTTGCTAGGTATAAAATTTATCTGATCTTCTGGCATAACACTCCCAAAAGATTTTCTTTCAGACAAAAAATCATTACATGTTGCTTCATTTATCTGAGTTTCACCTTCCAGATTTCTCTGAATGTTAACTAAAGAATTAGAGTCTTTACTATTTATCTTTTCACGTAACTTATTAGGCTTTATAGTGGTTGTCTGTTCTGACTCTCTAAGTTGCACTGAAGAGAAAAAATTGCTTTCTACTGAGTGCTCACTTACATGGCTCACATTAGGAACCGTTTTTCTATGGTCCACAGGGTCTGTCAAGTTACCCTGATAGTCTAAAGTGATTTTCAAATCATTCTTTTTAAACATTATTTCTGTGGCTTCAGTAAGAAAATTGAGCATTAAAGAACTAGAGCTTTCTGTATGGATACTGCCTTGAATGCAAGAGCTATTGTAAGTATCTTCCTTTGGGATATCAGCAGTCTTTTTTCCACCAGAACTGGCTTTCTTTTCTGGTTCTTCTTCCCTTTCTTTCCCGAGATTCAAAGGCCTTTCTTTACCTTCTATACAAGCCAAGTTTTTGCTTGGATCGTCCTCATTAAAAAAAGAACTATCTGTCTTTTTAGCAGATCCTTTCAGCAAACTGTTGCTTTCAAAATCACATTTTTCTAATGATGCTATTCTGCATTCTGGAACAGACAAAAGTGGTATGAAATGTGGAATTTCAGAACTTTCTTCCAAGGGTTTTATAGCATCTCTATTTCCCATAGCTGTGGAAGTATTAGGTGCAGAACTGTGTTTTTCATTATGGAGGCCAGGAGTCTGTTGGCGATTGTCATCTGCTTCGCAGACAGGGTTTAATTTACACAGCTCTTTCTCTTCATTGTCAGTGTTGGAAATGGCACTGTTCCCTGGTAATAATGACAACCAAGATGGAAAAGTTTTTAATTCTCCACATTCTTTTTCATTAGCAGTTACTTCTGCCAATCCAGGGTCCACAAAGGTTAAAGGCTTTAGGGAAACTAAAGTTCTGGTTTCTGAAACTTCACCACTGGTCATGATTTTGTCTACTTCTTGGTATTCACTGCACCCAGCTGAGAGAATATTACTCACATTGTCATTCTTATCCATCTTAGTCCCATTCACCTTTATACCTTGTACTTCTTCCGTGGACTCAGGCAGAGTTTCAGCTGTAATCTGTACATTTCCTTCTACACAAGAGAAATAAATCCAAATAAGCATGTAATCATTGTGAATTTTATCATGTATCCAAAGGCAACAATAATAACAAAAAAAAAACTCAAAAAGATAATTACAAAATGGAAAAAAAAGTTTTTGTATGAGGCAAGTACCAGTGGCTCATGCCTGTAATCTTAGCCACTCAGAAGGCTGAGATCTGAGGATCAGGGATCAAAACCAGCCTATGCAGGAAAGTCCATGAGACTCATTTCTGTTTAATCACCAGAAAACCAGAAGTGGCACCATGGCTCAGAGTAGTAGAGTGCTAGGCTTAGGCTAAAAAGCTCAGAAAGAGCATATAATAGGCCCAGAGTTCAAGCTCTATGACAGACAGAAAACAAAAAGAAGTGGAGTTTTGTTTTTTTTTAACAAGTTTTTATGTCGGGCTGGGAAGATGGTTCAGCAGTAGAGCGCTTGCCTTGCATGCATGAGGCCCTGGGTTCGATTCCTCAGCACCACATAAGCAAAAAAGAAAAAAGCCGGAAGTGGCGCTGTGGCTCAAGTGGTAGAGCACTAGCCTTGAGCTGAAGAGCTGAGGGACAGCGCCCAGGCCCAGAGTTCAGGCCCCACGACCGGACCCCCCCCCCCCAAAAAAAAGAAGTTTTTATGTGAAATCACAGATTCATGATACAACAGCATACATTATTAGATGACTATTCCAGGACTTGAACTTACATATGTCACTGATAAAACCATTCTTTGAAAAAAGCAATTATACATACAACTATATCTGAGACTTATCTGTAAGGTGAACAGTCTTGAATTCCATTACCTGCAAAAACTGTAAGGTTTTTCTGTAAGGTTGAACTAAAATTATTAAAGCTGAGTGAAAGGTCTATGGAAACAATGTATTTTTTTTTTTTTTTTTGGGTCCGGTCCTGGAGCCTGAACTCTGGGCCTGGGCACTGTTCCTCAGCTCTTCAGCTCAAGGCTGGCGCTCTACCACTTGAGCCACAGCGGCATCTCCAGCTTTTTTTTCTTTTTGCTTATATAGTGCTGAGGAATCGAGCCCAGGGCCTCATGCATGCAAGGCAAACACTCTACCACTGAGCCACCTTCCCAGCCCTATTCTTTCCTTTTTTTTTTTTGGTGCTGGTAGCAGGCCTTGAACTCAAGAGTCTCTCAATCTCAATCTACTTTTCCTCTCATCTGGCTCTCTACAACTTTAGCCATGTCTTCAGTTCTGGCTTTTTTCTGCAGATTTAAAAAAAGTCTTACTGAGTGCCAGTAATCCTAGCTACTCAGGAGGCTGAGATCTGAGGATCACAGTTCAAAGCTAGCCTGCGCAGGAAAGTCTGTGAGACTCTTATCTCCAATTAACCCCAGAAAACTGGAAGTGGTGCTGTGGTTCAAGTGGCAGAGTACTAGCCTTGAGCTGAAGAGCTCAGGGACAGCGCCCAGGACCAGCGTTCAAGCCCCACAACTGAACAAAAACACAGTGGAACCATGGCTCAAAGTGGTAGAGTGCTAGTCTTGAGCAAAAAGAGCTCAGGGACCAGCGGGCAGGCCCTGAGTTCAAGCTTCACAACTGACAACACAACAAAAACAAAAAAGCTTAAGTGGAGCTGTAGTTCAAGTGGTAGAACACTAGCACTGAGAATAAAAGTTCAGGGTCAGTGCTCAGACTCAGTGGTCAAGCTCTGGGACTGCCCCTCCCCCCCAAAACTAAGACCTCACATGAGCATTAAGGGTTCAACACACTGTTTTTGGGTTTTGTCAGTTGTGGGGCCTAAACTAGGGCGTAGGTGCTATCCCTGACCTCTTTTGCTCAAGGCTAATGCTCTACCAATCTGAGCCACAGTGTCACAGATTTCTGGTGCTCAATTAGAGATAAGAGTCTCATGGATTTTCCTGCTGCAGCTGGCTTTGAACTGCAATCCTTAGATATCAGCCTCCTGAGTATCTATGATTACAGGAAAGAGCCACTGGCACCTGGCTCAACACACTGTTAATAAAGAATACTTATGGGAAAAGAGCAAACTAAACTATCATCCACTAACACAAGGTCTGATAATAGTCGTGTCCTAGTATACCCACAGGTAATATAACAAATTTCTATAATTAAGTCTATCTAGTAAAGCACGTAACTATAACCATTATATTCTAACTACAAAATGGGATTTGTGAATTAAAATGATATGCAGTAGTGGGTGGGGGGAAACAACTTAGAGAAATACCTTTGTTCCTTAGAAAACCTTCAGGGAGATCCTCGTGTAAAAGTTCTCTGGACTGTACCAGGAGGGCCTCCTACAATAAGAAAACCAGCAGTCAAGGGAGGATTCAGATACCTGAAGTTCATTTCTTAAGAAACTTCTTTATGACCCTAGGAAATTTGCTAGTACTCACAAGGATTGAGAACTGAAGGAAACATCAAATTTAAGTAAGTACAATCAAACAAAAAACTTCTCCAGAATTTGATCTTGAAAAGTCAAGCTTGTCAAAGTCTAGATAAGAGAGTTAAAGTATTTACTTGTAAATGCAAATCAACCCTAAAAATGCCTTCTGCTAATGAAACAAACCATTGTAGTGTTAATTTTTGGGGGGGGGGGGGGGCGGTCAGTCAGGTGCCTGAACTCTGGGCCTGGGCGCTGTCCCTCAACACTTCATCTCCAGGCTAGCGCTCTACCACTTGAGCCACAGAGCCACTTTCCAGCTTTTTTTGCTTATGTTGAGGAATCGAACCCAGGCCTCATGCATGCAAGGCAAGCACTTTACTGCTGAGCCACCTTCCCAGCCCTGTAGTGTTAATTTTTATTTCTAAGGAAACCACCCCCCCCAAATCAGATGACTCTCTAGCTAACCATATGGTACCATGTACACTGTATATTTGTAGTACCAGACACTCAACATGTAATATGTGCTTTATAGTGTATATTATGGTCATGAAATAGAAAGTCTTTCTTTGCTAGGAAATACATATTGAAGAATTTAGGCATCATCTCTGTGAATATACTCTCAAATTAACTTTATTTTTGGTCTTTTGTCGGTCATGGGGCCTGAACTCTGGGCCTGGGCACTATTCCTCAGCTCTTCAGCTCAAGGCTAGCGCTCTACTACTTGAGCCACAGCGCCACTTCCGGTTTTTCTGCTTATGTAGTGCTGAGGAATCAAACCTAGGGCTTCATGCATGCAAGGCAAGCACTCTACCACTAAGCCACCTTCCCAGCCCCTCAAATTAAAATTTTTTTAAAGCTTACCTTTAATCCTATTTATTCAGATCTGAAGAGCACAGTTCAAAGCCAGCCCAAGCAGATAAACCCAAAAGAATCTTATCTCCAGTTAGATGACAAAAAGCACACACACACACACACACACACACACACACACACACACACACACACACACACACACACACACACACACACACACACACAGCACCAGGTTCATTGGCACATTCCAGAAATCCCAGAACTTGGAATGTAGAAGCAGAAGGACTTCAAATTCTAGGCCAGCCCCTAGGCTTGCTTCATAGTGAGAGCAGTGAGAGCTTGTCTCAAAAATCAAACCAAGGAGGCTGGGAAGGTGGCTCAGTGGTAGAGCGCTTGCCTTGCAAGCCTGAGGCCCTGGGTTCGATTCCTCAGCACCATATAAGCAAAAAGATAAAAGCCGGAAGTGGCACTGTGGCTCAAGTGGTAGAGCGCCAGCCTTGAGCTGAAGAGCTGAGGGACAGCACCCAGGCCCAGAGTTCAGGCCCCACGACCGGACCCAAAAAAAAAATAAAAAAATAAAAATAAAAATAAAACCAAGGGCTGGGAAGGTGGCTCAGTGGTAGAGTGCTTGCCTTGCATGCATGAGGCCCTGGGATCAATTCCTCAGTACCACATAAGCAGAAAAAGCTTGGCACTGTGGCTCAAGTGATAAGAGTGCTAGCCTTGAGCTGTACTAGGCCCAGAGTTCAGGCCCCATGACAAAAAAAAAAAAAAAAAATCAAACCCAAACAAGACAAAACCCATGAAATAAAATATGGTAAGATTTTAGCTGGGCATTGATGGCTCACGCCTGTAATCCTAGCTACTCAGGAGGCTGAGATCTGAGGATCGCGGTTCAAAGCCAGCTCAAAGCCAGCTCGGGCAGGAAAGCCCATGAGACTCTTACCTCCAATAAACCACCAGAAAACCAGAAGTGGCTCTGTAGCTCAAGTGGTAGAGCGCTCACCTTGAGCTGAAGAGCTGAGGGTCAGAGCCCAGGACCAGAGCTCAAGCCCCACGACCGACAAAAAAAAAAAAAAAAAAAGGTAAGATATGAGAGGAATCTACCTGAGGGATACAAAATTTTGTCTAGTGGGACTGGGAATGTGGCTCAGTTGGTAGAGTGCTTACCTAGCATGCATGAAAGCCCTGGATTCCTCAGTACCACATCAAAAGAAAAAGCCAGAGATAGTGCTGTGGCTCTAACCTTGAGCAAAAGAAGCTCAGGGACAGTGCCCAGGCCCTGAGTTCAAGCCCAAGGACTACAAAAAAAAAAAAAAAAAAAAAAAGCCGTACTGCTTCTGCAATTTCTCTGTAACAAATTATTCTAAAATAAAAGTTTAAGAAAACATTTATTTGTAGTTACATTGGATTCATTCCCCCAAAATAATACTCTCCACATTCTAGATTCTTGAAATACAGGCTGATTGTATGTGCTGTGAGATAAAATGCTATTAAGACTATTCTTTTGGGATAATTAATACTTTATGAAAAAGGAAGAATGCTAGAATGAAATATGTTGGGATAAAGAACCAGTAAGATTGTGGGTGGGTATGGGAGGAAAAAACTGAGAGAGAAGAGATGACAGTGTCCAAAAAGAATTAAACTCATTACCTGACTTAAGAAATGATAACCCCTCTATCATCTTTATAACAATAAGAAAATTAATTTAAAAACTTTCACCTACTAGCTACATGAGTGTGAGAAAAACTTATACATAGTTATAAGAAACAAAAAGTGGGGGAGTCGGAGAACAACATAAAATACCTAGTGAATAGCTGGGCACCAGTGACTCAGGCCTGTAAACCGCTACTCAGGAGGCTGAGATCTGAGAATCGTAGTTCAAATCCAGTCTGGGCAGGAGAGTCTGTGAGACTTTATCTCCAATTAACCACTAGAAAACCACTCAAGCAGTAGCACATGCACCTGGAGCTGAAGAGCCCAGGGGTAGCGTCCAGGCCCAGAGTTCAAGCCCCACAAGGACAAAAAACAAAAACAAAAACAAAAACAAAATAACCGCCCCCCCCCCACACCTCCCCCAAAGACTAGCAAATAGTTTGTTCCAAGAACCAAAGTGTCTATCATAAAGCCGGGTGCTAGTGGCTCACACCTGCAATCCTAGCTACTCAAGAGTCTGAGATCTGAGGATTGTGGTTCAAAGCTAGGCCAGGCAGGAAAGTCCACCAGACTCTTGCCTCCAATTAACCACTTCCAAACCAGAAGTGGAGATAGGGCTCAAAGTAGAGTGCTAGCCTTGAGCAAAAAGAGCTCCGGGACAACACTGAAGCCCAGAGCTCAAGTCCTACAACAACACCAAAAAAAGTGTCTCTCATTCACAAGATCATAGACATGTATTATCACATGTGTCAGCCATTTCTGTGAGAGAAGCCAATAAGGCCCGTCACCAACAAATTCTGGTATACACCGTCAGGAAAGATTACCCACCACAAGCTTTCTGGGCTAAACTTAGTGACAATTGGGGGAGTCTCCTGTGATTTTGTGCCCTTTGTGAAGGGCTACTGGAATTTTAGTGCTGTCCCCATATACTGCTCACAATGATGCGCATAGCAGGAGAACCCAAAACACCCCTGATGAATGTCAAGCCCACTGCTTCCTATCCAAGAAGAGGAAAAAAACAGCTAAGAGTGAGGTATTCCACTTGCCCTCTACCTTGCAGAATTATCTTGAAAGGTTGTAAATTAAGAAGGATCAAGCTATTCCTCACAATAAAGTAAGGGAAAGACTGGGTCTTAGTGATTCACTTGTTCTCACAGCCATCCTAGCCTCTAAACAGGGGATGGGGCTATCCACCCAGCTTGAGGCCTAGAGATGAGACAAGCCATCCTTTGAATTGCAGATGCCTAGCTCAGTTGGTAGAGTAGAGAGCTCTCCATTTTAGAGGATATGCCACAGGGAAGCTGCTCCTGTGTTTTTATGTTGGGGCTCTACCTAAGCATGTGGTTTTTGTCTCTAAAAGCTTGGTGCAAACTCTGTGCTGGGCTGCTGGTTTTTGAGACAATAGTTTGCCATGCAGACTCTTTTGGCCAATAAAGTACTCAGAAAAAGTCTGTCCAAACTAGGGCTGGCTTGGAACAGCGATCCTCAGATCTCAGCCTCCTGAGTAGCTGGGATTACATGCGTGAGCCACAGGTGCCCGGCTCTTGGCCTTTTAAACATTACTTGGCAAGGGCGGGAGAAGGGGAGGAGAAAGGGAGGTATAATCATGCGTCATAAAGCTGTTTTTCAGATTCCAACCAAGGACCATGCCAATTTTAAGTACGAGCTTCCCACCCAAGGATATCATTCGCTTCCAGCCAGAGCTGGGAGTGCCTGGGATTCCACAAAGGATGTTAATGGCTTAGCTTGGTTGGGGGAACACACGGTTCAGGAAAGGACAGTAGTAGGGTAACAAAAGCTAACTAGTTAGGTACCAAGAAAGTCTTATCCACAGGAAGCTTAGTTACATTCATATTTTAGATCCATTCATCATTTACTTCACAGTTTAAGTCAAATAACACAGTTCATTTGTAATTCCCCATCATATCATTAAATTCATTCATTGTCCACGTTATACCGTTCAAGTCAAATGCTATAGTTCATCTCTAATTTTCCATCATATCAAGATTGATTCCCAATTCCATCTCTCAAAATGTGGCTTCTGTTTCTCCATTGGCATTACAACAAAAAGAGGGCTGGAGACTACAAGGCTTGAGGTCTCAAAGATAATCAATAATTGAATGTACTAAAAACAACATGTAGCTGAGATGTAAGCTAACACCACCACAGCAGTGACCTCACAACCACGAGGGAGCTCTGCAGAGGAGTGAGTGCAGAGAAGGAACCAGAACAGCCTACTTGCACGCAAAGGACATGTGTAGAACAGTCTTCAGACTCTTCTAACCCATTTCAAACTTAGCCAATCACATAACAAATACATGAAACCTAAAACACAATTTCTAGTTGTGCACTGGTGCTCATACCTGTAATGCTAGCTATTGAAGAGGCTGAGATCTCAGAATCACAGTTCAAAGCCAGCCTGGGCAGTAAAGTCTGCAAACT